CTCGTCTCCTTGGCACTTCCTCTTCTTCTTCCTCCCCATAACTTTCACAATAAACTCTGTAGACGCCCCTCTCCCTCTGGCAACCCCCCGTCAGTCATAAGTCCTGCCATATCTTCCTACCACCCTCCCCTCCCCTCCCCTCCCATCTCATCTCATTTTGCTGGTTCGGCTGCTACTCCGACGGTGGATCCACTACTGCCGTTACTCGGCTCTGCCGCTCTACGCCACGCCCCGCCACGCCGCGCCACGCCTTCTCCGGATGCGGCCGTCGTGTGTGATTGCACAATGACAAAGGAAAAGAATGGATTGTCTTACAAGTTCGCCGTCACGCGTGACAGCCGGGCCCGCTGCTGCCGCTTGGGCGCCGCCCGGCCACACAGCGCAGGCCCCTCGACTCCAGAATCTGAACTGAAAGACCTTCCACCTCTATACCTCTACTACTCCCCGCGCCTGCCGGAAGTGGCCCCCCCCGGCCGCCGCGGGGCTCTTCTAGTAGTTCGGGGCTGCCTCTGTTTCGTGTCGGTGGGAGATAGTCGCGCGCTGGCCCCGCCCCGCCCCGCCCCGCCCCACTGCTGCTACGCCTGCTACGCCACTGACTGGCCCGGCGCGCGGCCTCCCGTATATGGGTCCCGGCGGGTAGGAGGAGGTGGAGGCCCCCAACCTCCAACACGCCGCGCGACGCGCCGCCGCCGCCAGCCTCTCCTGGATCCAAAGTCAAGTGCAAAGCGCGCTGGAAGAGCGCAGAATCCTCTTGTACGCACGTCCACCACCACCACTCTCTTTCTCCCTCGCACGCATTGGCGTTCCCCCCTCGCTCTCTCTTTCTCTCTCTCCCGTACTCGCACACGCACGACAGCAGGGCCCGGCGACAGATTGCTAACTCACAAAGGATGGTGTGCCTCTGCTAGCGGCCCGTGTGACGCTCCTCGGTCACGCTGCGTGAGGCGCCACATCGGGGAGACGGGCACTACGACAGCGCCGCCCCACACATGACGCCTGGTGTCCGCTCGGGTCACGTGTGTGTGTGTGTGTGCTTGCTGTCCGTCAACCTCCTCCCGCTGCCCCTCCCGGCTGCTCCTGGCCGGGCTCGCCCGCGGTGCAGTGGCCTGGCCTGGCCCAGCATGGCGCTGTGTGCTGCGCTGCGCTGCCGGCCCGGGGCCGCTGGGGTGCAACTCTAAA